CTCAGAGCTATTCAGACTTAGCAGAGAGCCTTTTTATGTCAGAAAAGCAACCTGACAGGGTTAAAAAGTCAGCAGTGCTTAGCACCTTTACATGCATTTTATAAAGTGGGGGTAAAAAAAAATATATATATATATATATAAGTGTAAAAGTGGTTTTTTTCTTGTTAAATCTGAGGACTAGATTCATTAACTGAACTTTTTACTTTTAAACTTTAAGGATACATTTATTGCCAGAGAATTGATCGAAGTGATTATTCTGACCGTACAAGGAAGACAACCAAGGATGAGCTATTGAATTTACTAAAAAATATTGATGAGGATTCAAAACTTTCCACCAAAGAGAAGAAAAAATTGTTAGGTCAATTCTATAAGTGTCACCCAGACGTCTTTATTGAGTATTTTGGGGACTGAGTTTCCAGTGTCTGTATATAACTTTTGTATTTTAAGAATAAATTATGTATCCTAAAGATTCAATCATATTGTAATATTAAATGTTCCTCTAAGTATGAAACTGTACGTAATAAAACATTTTTTGTATAATCTTTCGTGAAACTGAGTATTAGATGCTGTATTGCTGTTAAGTATTGGCCTCTCTCAGGAGAGTTGATTTATAATTATTGTGCACAATACTTTATGGAACATCCTAGGAATTTAAATGATGGGACATTGTGGTGTTTATAAAAAAGAGTATTAAACAGTAAGAAAGTCTGTTACAAGTTAATAGGAGTGTGGTTTGTACCTTGAAAGGTATATTTCTTGAAGATACAAGATAGAAATTTAGGCTATGCTAAAGTGAATTTGTCAGTTACCATAAATTGTAGACAAGTCAGAAATTGAACTGTCCCAATGCTTTTGGCAACTTCAGCATCTTTTAAAGCTTATTGTGGATAATTTCAAACATACATAAATATGGGGAGAATAGAATAATGAGCCCTTCGTGATTTCATCATCCAGTTGCAACAGTTGTCAACTCATGGCCAGTCTTATTTAATCTATTCTGGGCTCCCACCTCAGCATATTTAATACATCCTATCACTTCATCTATAAAATTTCAGAAAAAAAATAACAAAATTTCAGTATGTATGACTAGAAGATAAGGACATTAAAAACATAACCCCAGTATCATTATTACACACACACACAGTCACAATTCCTTAATATCTTCAAAAATGCAGTCAGTGTTCACATTTTCTGATCTGTAATGACTGTGACATTCAAGTAGGGATCCAAACAGAGTTCATACATTGCAGTTGGTTAATGTGCTTCTTAAATCTTTATAGGTTTTTCTCTCTGTCTCTCCTCCCTTCTTCTTTTCTCTGTTATTCAGTAAACCTGGTCGGCTGTTCTTGAGTTTCCCACAATCTGGATTTAGCTGATTGCAAGCCTGTACTCTCCTGTATCATATTCCTCTGTGTCCTTCATTCCTTGTAAATTAGTCATTAGAACTAATGTCTCAACAACTTTTTATTCAAGTTAATGATGATTTTGGAACAACTGCATTGTCACAGTATACTTGGTAAATAGGCATGCAATATAATACTTGTAATTTGTATAATACAATTTTAAATTATGCATTTTTACAATAATAAAACCAAAAGATTAAAATGAGACTGAATTTTAAATTCAGACTTTTAAAGAGGGGTAGGAAACCAAAACGATGTACCAATATGCTAGCCTGTCAATCTTTTGTTTTCAAAGATATAACTTATACTGGCTAGTCTTTAAAAAGGAAAAATTTGAGGACTCATCTGTAGTACGTAATATAATTCTAATAGAGTAAGGACTAGTTACATCAGGTGGGTTCTTTTGTGATGTGTATTTTGCTTTGTTGCATAGGCAGGAAAGGAAGGCAGCTGTCTACAGTGAAGTGAAAGAGAAGACAGTTCATGATTTAAGTGTGAGGAAGTTTTTAGAAACAAACTACTGCAAGTGTGGTGAGACCATAGCTGACAGAACAACAGTGTGTGTACTTCCTGATTTGCAACCTTTATTTTGCACATAATGGAATAAACATCATTATTTGCCAACAAAACTAACACCTCTCCTTCAGGGGGAGGCAGAACTTTCTAGTTATATTCATGGTCCTAGGAAAAAAAGCATTCTAATACAATGTTAATTTCATGGAAAATCTAGTAAAACCAGAGTTTACCTCAAACTTCATAAGCGTAAAGTTTTAAGAAAATTGGTCATGTTTATGGGAAGCACTGTCAGAGTTTTAAACTATAGGTCTGGTGCTCCCTGAATGCCCAGTAGCCCATGGCTGAGCCCTGATCTGAAGGGCTTCCCCGGTGGCTCAGCTGGTAAAGAATCCACCTGCAATGTGGGAGACCTGGGTTTGATCCCTGGGTTGGGAAGATCCCCTGGAGAAGGGAGAGGCTACCCACTCCAGTATTCTGGCCTGGATAATTCCACGGATTGTATAGTCCATGGGGTCAGAAAGACTTGGACATGACTGAGCGACTTTCACTTTTAAGCCCTGATCCAGACTACCCAGAGGCTAATGAGACGATGGAAAAAAATCAGCTTGGCTGATCAAGTTCTAAATAAAGAAATTACTTTATGAAGGAGCAGTGACTAAAAAAGAAGCTAGTGTGTAGTGTAGAGAGATGAGTGAAGCTGAATGCAGCAAGAAGCAGGAAGCGATTGTGAGAGATCCTGTGTCCTGGGGAGATGATGGAATAGTACCAACCACCAGAGCGGCGGCCAAACCAGGTAACCTGGCAGTGAACTCTCTCTACCTTGAGGTGATTTGAGTTTCCAGTTCGTGTTGCCAAAAAGCAAACTAGAACATGTGTTAATGTTTTTTAATATTTAAAGGAAACAATTCAAAATATAGCAAAAGATGAGAAGCCATCCAAGTCAAATCTATGGTGTTGCAGCATCTTCTCCACATGAGAAAATTGTTTATACTAATGAAGGAGGGCATGGCAACCCACTCCAGTATTCGTGCGGGAGAAGCCCACGGACAGAGGAGCCTGGCGGGCTACAGTCCATGGGGTCACAGAGAGTTGAGCACGACTGAAGTTTGACTGAGGACACATGGACGGAATGCTTCAAGGAAGGTAGGGGACCTGAAGGTGGGGGACATTTCTAGGAAGGTGGTTTTAGCCTGGCTGCCTCTTAGAATCACCTGGGAAGCTTAAGAATTCTTGCCTGGCATCACCACCCATGCCATCCCTCTGTGTTTCAGATGATAGCTTTAGAAAACATCCATCCCACCCCCCAACCCCAGGAGATTCTAAGGTGAGGTCAGAGTTGGGAACAACTAATCTGGAGACTGTGGTATATTGGAAAGACTGATGCTGAAGCTCCAATACTTTGGCCACCTGATGCAAAGAGCTGACTCACTGGAAAAGACCCTGATGCTGGGGAAAGTTGAAGGCAAAAGGAGGAGGAGTGGCAGAGAATGCGATGGTTATATAGCATTAGTGACTAATGGACCTGAATTGAGCAAACTCTGGGAGATAGTGGAGGACAGAGAGGCCTGGCATGCTGCCGTCCAAGGGGTCATAAAGAGTCACATTAGCAACTGAACAACAAAAAGTATATTCTAGACTCTGAAGTGAGAACTGAATGTTTTCTTCCTAAATGTTAGTTCCAGTTAATATCTTATGGCACCTCCCTCCCCCTCAAAGTGAATCCTCTTCTGAGAACTGTGTTTCAGGAAAAATTCTTACTTTAATATGCTAGTTAATGAATGGCTTTAGGGTGTTGAAATATTGCATACAGCCTTCAATGCTTTAGGAATAACTGCCCACGTGTGATCTATTTAGAAGTGGCCTTTGAAAGCAACTCCTAATTCCACTCCATCTTGTTTTGTTCTAGTTATTTAACAAGTTTATAGGCTGCAGGTAGGAGGCTTCATTTTAAGGCATACATGTTTGATGTTCAGCTTTAAAGCATTTTACAAAAGAACAGATAAAAGTTACGGAGCTTTTACTTTTGAAGATTAGGCCCCCCACAACTATTTCTATTCGTTTAGTTTGCTGTCTTACTATACAGGCTGAGAAAAGCATGGTTTTCTTGGATCAGCAACTGTTAAGGACAGCCACGACCCGGGTACCTGGGACAAAGGGGAAGGAGGCTTCAGAACAAGCTTGTCGTAACACGCTGTTTCCTTTCGGGAATACAGATGGCACATAAAATGCTGAATGCTATGTTTCTGAGCTCTCTAAACCGAGTTGAACCCTCATGAGACGTCTTTGCCTCCTTGCCTTCCATCTTTTCAGGGCGAAGGTCTCGCTCTTCTATCGACAAAGTGCAGCGGCCGCTTGGATAAAAGAGGTGACTCAAACCAAATCGAATCTGTGCCGTTAAAATGAAACTTGGCCATCCAGGTGGTGGGCAAGACTTTTTTTTAACAACCAAAAGGAGGGGAGGGGAACAAATACCGTGGCTATAAACCATGATGTAATATTTAAATTTGAAAACCAGGGCGGGGAAGGCTTTGCACCGAAACAGCCAATCCTTTCGCTTTCCTCGACTGCCTCCGCGCCGCCTCCCCCGCAGCCGGTCTTTCCGTACAGAAACATGGCGCCGCCCTCTGTGCGGCGGGGGCCTCCCGGCTCCGAGTCACAGCCCACTGAGCCCCTCAACTGGCACCGGGCCGCGCCTCCCGCCTTCCCGTAAGGGAACATGGCGACGCCCCATGTGGGACAGGCGCCTCCAGGCTGAGCGCTTCCTCCCGCTACCCGACATTGAGGAGCCGCCGCGCTGGCCGCTACCCACCCGAGCCCGGCGGGGAGGACCGCTCGTAGCGCAGCGAGGGATGCGGCCTCCGAGGGGCAGAGGTTGAACCGGCCCTGCCCGCCGCGCATCCTCCCCGCCTCCGCCGCGGCCGCCGCCAGATCCCCGGCCGAGCGGCAGGAGGGAAGACGCCCGCTCCGCTGCAGGTGAGGGAAGCGGATGCGCAGGCTGGCCACCCTGCGGAGCCCGCACGCGAGGAACGAGGTCGAGAATGCAGGCATTGCTTCGCCGTTTCCGTCGATCGGGTCCCAGTGATGTCGGGTGGAGGCGAGGAAGAGGCAGACACAGCGGGCAGGTTGAGGCTTAGAGCGGTCTTTGTCCCACCCCTCGAGGCCATCCTCCAGGCGCGCCTCGCTATCTCCCGGCCCGGCCACTCCCTCTCCGGCCCAAACAGTTGTTTACAACGGAATCCGGACGCTGGGCGTGCGTGGCCCCGAGTGCTGGAGAAAGGGTTTCTCGCCGGCGTTGGACAGAGCTCCTTGCTGTTGCTGAAAGACCCTTTCTCCTGGGGAGACTTGAGAGCAGCTTGGGCTCGGCGTGAGGCTCAGATAGTGTTCACGGCAAGTGCAAGGATCCTCCTACCCTCGGTTCCCTTTTTAGGCATGGCAGGAGTTGGGGATTGTTGAATGAATGAGCACACTGCACGCAGTTAAATGGTTCCTCGTTGCATCCTGTATAGCCCTGTAATTGTAGTTAGCATTTTTGGAAGCCGGTTGTGCACCAGCTGTCGTTATGTACGCCCTGTCGTTGACACTTCCCCCAAACCCAGGAGGTAGGTAGCTGCGTTTTACACAGCTAGTTAGACAGTGGAAGTTAACACAGCTAGTAAAGAGCCAGAATTGGAACCCAGGTATGTCTGAGACTAACGCCCAGCCCTCCCGCATAAACTGACTTTAAGTAGCGTTGGAGACAGACGCTTTACCATCTGAGCTACCAGGGAAGCCCAAGTAGATGACACAGCTATCAGTAAATACTTAGTGGGTATCTGTTTGGGGGGATATACTGTATGTGTGGAGCATATATGGGGGATGTGGTTGGTCTGGCCTGTAAGAAGTTAAAAATGTAGGTGAAGAGTTTTGTTTTTCTTTCTTCTTCTTCTTTTTTTTTTTTTTATTAAGGAGAACTAGCAATTTTAAGATCTAACCCCAACTCATCGCTCCTTTGTCACCTGCTGCTTGTTCTGCGTATTTTCATTTGCCTTTGCTTGTGCCCTTTAAGTGAAACGCCCCCCTTTTCACCTTCGCTCTTCCTCCAGATGTTTTATGTTTGATTTATGTATTTATTTATTTTTTTGGCTGCACCCTCATGGCTTTTTAGTTCCCCAACAAAGGCCCCTTGCAGTGAAAGTGCCTAGTCCTTAACCACTGGACCGCGAGGGAATACCCTCCAATTGTTTTTTAATTGAGTGAAATCCTACTCTTTTTAAAAAGACAGGCTCAAATATCACCTTTTCTGGGAAGGTTATCCCAACCTCCTTTCGGGAAGAATTAGTTTCTCCTGCTTAATGATTTCATAATGCCATTAAGGCTTAAGTTTAACTGTATTTCCTTGTAAGAATGTCTCTCTCCCCCTCTCGACCATGCCTTTTCATCGTTCTATTCCTATTTAAATTAGCATATTTTGAGTTGGCTTTAAGGCAATGATGAATGCCAGATGTCTAACATCCATCCCTACAGGCGTTCAGAGAAAGGAACAAACACTGGTGAGGTTGGGCAAATGACCTGGGAAGGGATAGGTCTTGAACCAAATCTTACATGGATGGGTTAGTTTACTAAACTGAATATTAAAGACCTGGAAATTCTGCTTTTTCTCATTGCACAGAACGAGTTACTTCATCCTCAGCTCGTTCCCAACATGTGAAGAAGATACAATTAGAAGTGTTTTTGTTTGTCCTTTCTCATAGGAGATGCTGGTAATGTTACCTTTTGGTTCTTGGAGCATTTCCAGAGCCAGACAGGATTTAGGACAGAGGAGATGGGTGTCTGGAGTGGGATGCTGGAAGGTTCAAAAGGAATGACATTAAAGCAACCTTCGTATTAATAATACAGGCCTGAAAATGTCAGTTCCAGTAACTTCATTCTGTTTAATGGGCTTATCTGATGTTCAGATAATTATATCAAATGATTCTTCTAATGTGCAGAAAGGAGTCTGCCAAACCTCCTGAAAATGGTCAACATTTCTTTTGATCCTTGGGTTACCTTCCAGGTGTGTAATAAACTCTAATTAGTGCTTATGAAAATATTTTGTGATATTCAAGTGCTACTAGTACAAATGCTAATTATTTTCAGTATTATAAATGCAGAAAACATTGTGTCTTTCTTTTCCTTTACTAGGAAGCCCATTAGGAATAAAGAGCTCAATAAAAAAATTAGGGGGAAAAAACTTGATAAAAAACATTTATAGTAAATAAGAGGTTAATGTTCTAGGCCTTTATTAACTAGCCCAAACCAACGTGTTAAGTGTTAGTCCTCTACAAATCAGCACCTAAGACAGTTAACACCCCACCCAACCACATACATTATGGTGGTTTGCAACTTCCTACATTACTCACCATCTTTTTCTGCCGACTGGCAAGGGATTAATAAAAATATTTGCCCCACACATTTTTCTTAAATGCTTCATGAGATTCTGCCTTCCATTTGTCATCCCCGGGTGTCTTATCCGTAATAGAATCAGGGAACCAGCTTCTCAGTCCAGTGTATATTTACTTTGAACGCTGATGAAGAAGCATTATTTCCAGAGTCTTCCTTTCAGCTCTCAGGAATGAAGGAATTTAAGAATTAAATTACTGTTTGATTAAAATACAAGCAAGCAGTTTATAGTGTTAAGGCCATGTTCTCGTGACATGGTACTCAGATTGGGACAAAATATTCGAACTTGTTACTCTGTGGAGTGTAGGTCCATGAATTTGGTAGTTACAAGTGTCATTTTACAGGTGATCTGTTTAATCATGGAAGTAGAATATTATATTGGGATAAGGATAAGATCTTAGCAAGCCCATTTATTTTACAGGTGAGAAATCTGAAACCCAAAGAGATTAAATCATTTGCTTAGAGTCACACTGCCAGTTAGTGTCAGAGCAAGAACATTTTGGTTCATTTTTTTTTTCCCTCTAGGAAAGTGCATGAACTTAATTGAGAATGTCTGAAAACCTTGACAAGTCCAATATAAATGAAGCAGGAAAATCAAAGTCAAGTGATTCTGAGCAAGGCCTTGAAGATGCTGTGGAAGGTTCTGATGAAGCTTTACAGAAAACAGTAAAGTCGGGCTCTCCAAGCACCCAAAGAGTGCAAAGACCTCACTGTAAGCACATTTGACTTTGGATAGAAGCAGTCTCTTCATTGTTTTTATTTTTATTTATTTTTTCTTCATTGTTTTTAGATGATATTTTTATTATCCTTCCTTGTACATGTGGCCCTGAGCTAGGTTCTAATAGAATGATAGAATTGCCAATAATTAGCTTTTAAGTATAGCAACCGTTTCACAACTAACAGCCCAGTCACTTATGGATTTTCAATTGCATGAGAAACTCACATTTTAGAATAATGTTCGGAATATTGCTGTTTTCCTCCAGCCTCAGTGACATTCCAGTTTGTCTGAAATGCTCTGAGAAATAGGAGGGTGGAGTGAAAATTGCAGCTTTAATTAAAAGTGTTTTGAAAAGTTCTAGCCAGGTCTGTGCTTGTGCAGGTTAAAAAAAAAAAGTTTTTGACTGTGAGTTCACCACACCATAACTTCACTGCCTGGGGGCATCGTTCCCACAAGGCTGAGGGGATTCAGTGTACTAACTGTGTGTGGTGAAGGCACTTCAGATCCCTGGCAGGAAGCAGGCCTCGCCAATGAGAGGATGGCAATTTCCGCAAGTATTCCCAGCAGATGCTCCAACTCATGTCTTTTATTAGGAATACTCAGGGTTTTTGAAGTGAGTACAAAAATGAAAGTTTTAAGAGGGATTGTCATGGTCTAAGAATGTCAGTGTTGATATTATCTCTTTAAAGTACAAATGATCTGTAATTCTTCATGTTTGAAAAAAGTACAAGCATTTGGGAGTTTAAGGTGTGTTTCCGTTAAAATGATAAAAGCCCCTGCCAGGTAATTTATTAGTCAACATGGTATTCTTAAAGCAGACATTGGTGGACCCCATTTTATCGTAGTTTATCATTGAATAGATTTTGATAAATATACTACGAGGTCACATTGTATTCAGGGAAGAAAACATGCTGTTAATAACAGTCTAATGTGGTTGTATTATGCCTTGTCTCCAATGTGTATAGTTAGAAGGCTTCATCTGTTTTCTCATTTTTAAAATGAGGAAAATATGCTTATCTCTTAGGGTCATTGTAAAGACTAAATGAATTCATGTAAAGCTCTTACAACAGTGTCTGCATATAATAAATGCTCAATAAACACTAGTTGTTAGTATTACTGCTACTAACATATTGCATTTATTTATTTATTATTACAAAAAAATTTTTTTGGCCATGTCGTGTGACTTGTGGGATCTTAGTTCACCAATCAGGGACCGGACACCCTTTGCAGTGAAATTCCCTCATCTGTTGCATTTTAAGATAACCCAGGAGATGGCTCTAATATGGATGTTGATGGCCAGTATGGTAGTTTTATCACTTACAGTTTCTGGTAAAGAAGTACCTTTGGATTAGAATGTTCAGTTCTTTGATTAATGGCCTTGCCTTTGGCATCCTGTCAGTCTGATGGCATGATTCCAAATTAATGTCAAGCCAGCACTAGACTATATTAGTTGACATTGTATGTAGTTATGTCCTTAAGGCAGCTTATCCTGAGACCTGTGATCAAGTGTTGGGGAATCCAGGAACAGTCAAAAAAGGTGTATCAACATGTCTGTATATATATATTTTTCTAGGAAGGTCAGAAAAGATTTCCTTAAATTCTCACAGTTCCATATAAAAATGAGGTTTAAAATCAATGACGGACTATATTGTTTCTGGCTTTCTTGCCCTTTTCTCCTTGTAATAATAGGTAGGAATAGGGCTATGGACTCCAGTGGTAAAACTGCGACCCCGGAGTCTGGGGCCAGGTCAGGAGGCATCACTGCTTGCAGAGAGCATACAAAAGAATTTATAAAATATGAAATTAGTTATCTGCAGACATCTCTCCCAAACTGTGTAAATGTATAGCTAATGAGTTTAAAGTAACTCTAAAATCATATCTTTGTTGTTCAATGGCTCAATCATGACCAACTCTTTGCGACCCCATGGACTGCAGCACATCAGGCTTCCCTGTCCTTCACCATCTCGCGGAGCTTACTCACATTCATGTCCATTGAGTCAGTGATGCCATCCAACCTTCTCGTCCTCTGTCGCTCTCTTCTCCTCCTGCCTTCAATCTTTCCCTGCATCACATCTGGAGTTCTACAAATTAAAAGCAAAAAGATAGCCTTTAGACTTGCAAAGTAAAATACAGAATAATGTTTGAATGATAGAAATACTGTTGGTAACTGTGATGCTGTGATTTATAATGGGAAATATATGTTTGGTTCTCATCCAGTTTCTGGCTCAGAACTTCTAAACTACTGGAATTTCTTGAGTGACGAGGGCTAGAAAGATGTCTTTTGTTACACTATTGAGGCACAGCCTAACCTAAGGGGACTCAATCTTGAGATTAGAGGGTTGGAGATTTCAATCCTACCCAACCCTCCCTCCCACCTCTGGGGAGGAGGGAGGAGCTGGAGGTTGTACAGTTGCCAGTGGCCATTTATTTAATCAAGTTTGCCTATGTAATGAAGCCGAGAGAAAAACCCAGAAGGATGGGGTTCAGAGAGCTTCTGGGTGAGTGAGGACATGGAGGTACTGGGGGAGTGGCACCCTGCTTCCCGGTACCTTGCCCTTTGCTTCTCATCTATTTGGCTGTTTCTGAGTTACATCCTTTTATAATAAACCAGTAATCTAGTAAGTAAAATGTTTCTTTGAGTTCTGTGACCTGTTCCAGCAAATGAATCAAATAAAAGGGGGTGAGAGGTTGTTGGAACTTCCCATCCACAGCCAGTCTGTCAGAAGCACAGGTGACACACCCTGGACTTGGGACCGTCCTCTGAAGCGGGGTTGAGGGGAGAGTCCTGTAGGACTGTGTCCTTAACCTGTGGAACCTGATGCTGCTCCAGGTAGGTAGCGTCAGAATTGCAGCACACTTGTCTGAGAATTGCTTGGTGGTGTGGGGAGAAAACCTTCACACGCTTACCCTGCACATGATGGAATTTGGGTACATAATGTTTAATAGCTGATACAGAATATAAAAAAGGGAAGATGGCTGGTCTTGTCAGAATTGGTTGGCACTGATCCAAGGTGGTTATTTGATTCTAAAAGAATTAATTCTTTAAACATAGAGATCCTTAGAGTAAGGATCAGTCAGCTGTAACTTAATGTTTCCCATAAGTTTCTCTACTTCCAAATACTTTATGTTTTGTGTGTGTGGGAAAAAGGAGGATTTATTACTTGCAGCAAGTAAGGAGAATACCAGGGATCTTTTCCAAAGCAATGTCTCCCTCAACAGCAAAACTGGGGAAGTTTTAAGCCAAGGGTACCTCATGTTCATGAATGGGCTTGACCAGAGACTTCTGCCCGGAATTGGGATAAAGGTTGCCAGAGCTGAAGCTCTTGATGATTGAAGTTGGGAGGATCAGAAAAGGTCAACATGGTGACATTCCCTCAGTTCTGACCAGACTTCCATCTCAACAGGTAGTTACCCTCCTCCTTAGTGGGGTGGGAGGCCTTAATTCCTACAGAACTCCAAGATGTCAGATATGAGATCATAATGTTTATCTTACAGAATTACTGAGATTTGTTCAAGGGCAAGCATTGTGGCCAGGCTTAAATCACTGGCTTCTTATAGCAAGAAAATCATGCCTGGTTCTTTTTCTCTGGGGACCACCTACCCTATCTACTTACAGTACTTTTGTTGTTATTGTTGCTGTTAAGTCATTGAGTTATGACTCTTTTGTGACCCCTTGGACTATAGACCGCCAGGTTCCTCTGTTCATGACATTTCCCAGGCAAGAATACTGGAGTGGGTTGCCATTCCCTTCTCCAGGGGATTTTCCCGACCCACGGACTGAACCCAGGTCTCCTGCTTTGTAGGCAGATTCTTTACCATCTGACCCACCAGGGAAGCCCTAGAGTGGGTTGCCATTTCCTTCTCTAAGAGATCTTCCTGACCTAGGAATCGAACCTGCATCTCCTGCATTGGCAGGCAGATTCTTTACCGCTGGGCCACTGGGGAAGCCCTGCAGTACTGTGCGACTTTGCAAATATCCTGTTTCTGCTTCAACTTCAACTCACTAATTTTAGCCTTTACCAGTGGATCTTTCCTGTACCATTATTACCCTTTTATTCTAATGGTGATTTTTTTAAAGATTGAAGTATAGTTGATTTATTAGTATTTATTGTATTAGTACAATATTATGTTAGTTTCAGGTGTCCAGCAAGTGATTCAGTTATATGTATATATATAATTTCAGGTTATTTTCCTTGATAGTTATTACAAGGTATTAAATATAATTCCCTGTGCTAAATAGGAATCCTTGTTACTTGTATAGTAGTTTGTGTCTGTTAATTCCATATGTGTTGTATGTTAATTGCTTCAGTCGTGTCCGACTCTTTGCAACCCCATGGACTGTGGCCTGCCAGGCTCCTCTGTCCGTGGGATTCTCCAGACAAGAATACTGCAGTGGGTTGCCATTCCCTTCTCTAGGGGATCTTCCCGATGCAGGGACTGAACCCAAGTCTCCCACATTGCAGGTAGATTCTTTACTAATCTGAGCCGTACTCCTAATTTATCCTAATTAGGAGTTAATTCCATACTCCTAATTTATCCCATCTCCAGTTTCCCTTTTGGTAACCGTAAGTTTGTTTTTCTGTATCCCTGAGTCTGTTTTGTATACAGATTCATTTGTGTTATTATTTTATTTTATTTTTGGTTTTTTATAGGTTTTTTTTTCTTCTTTAATTCTCTGCTCACAAAGCACCTTCTGCTCCAAAGTGTAATCACCTAGTTAATCAGTAAAACATGCCATATTCAGATGAAAAAAATCAGATGTTATTCCAGTTAATATTTCCCATTTAGCACTTTAGTTTATTAAATCAGACCCTGGTGAGATTTATGAGATAAATGGATGACAGAGTTGTGCATTTCTAAAGTGCAGGACCAGACTGAATTGTGGTGTCTCTGTGCTGTGCCCAGTCGCTCAGCTGTGTCCGATTCTTTTGTGACTGCATGGACTGTAGCCCGCCAGCCTCCTCTGTCCATGGGGATTCTCCAGGCAAGAATAC